TATGAAATCTACCTATTTACCAGTTTTCATAAAAATTGGCCCCAAATTCACCGAGATTTGAGACCCCGAAGGACCGAGGAGCATTGATTCATGTATTAATGCTCCTAGCATACATTCAGACTTTAGGATCTTAAATATCTATATAAATTAAGCTGATTTTTATGAAAATTGGTAAATAAGTAGATTTAAGAGTAAAACATTTTTAATTAGTGGTTCAAATTTTGAATCCGCCATAGAAAAAAGTTCTTCAATGTAAGAAATTTACTAATTGTAAATTTTGATTTAAATCATTCTATTTTACAAAATAATCTGTCGTCAAATTATTTTTAAAAAATATTAGAGGTTTCAGGGTTTCAAATGAACACTTTATTATTTTGTCCAAACTAATAGTCATGGAAATAAAATGCTAGAAAGTTAATTTTCGTGTTTCGTTACATGTGTGAGCCACTGTATATGTGAAGTATGATCGCGTTTTGCGGGTGCTGTCAAATTTATGAAACTCGTAATTGAAAAAAAGTCAGTCCTAGCACTGATTAAACACGTACAACCCGAATTTTGTTCTACCTGGCTGGATAAACTGAATTTTAAATTTTCGATTTAACAGGTTGACTTAACATTAAAATATAGATGCCGTCGAAATCAAACTACATTCTAATAATCCTAAAATAGAGAACGGTTAAAACGTAGTCCATCACGTGATATAGCTTAAAAATATTAAAAGGGAATTTTAACGTTAGGATTAGGGTTGGGAAGGAGATCTTAGTTATATTTAAAATTGCCTTCCCGACATTTTTAATTAGTGCTCCAAGAAAGATTTAAGCACCTGTTTTCCGTATTTTTTCATTTTTGTCTTTGCTTCAAATCTGTTTGCCGGGTTGATTAAAAATTTACGCATCCTCATTGGTTTGTTTTTCGGACAGATTATCGGATGGAGTACGCTTTAACCGATCCCCTAAAATAGTAAATAATCCGAGGATAATCATTTACGCATCAAATACATGTACAACCTCTACGTTATAAATACACTCGCTACGTCATAAATAAAATCTCGCATAAAAGAATCGTTTTTCCGTTACGAATCATAATAATTATTTTAAGTGAAACATTTTCACATGTTCATATTTTATTGCAATATATGTATGTTGCTTATTATGACCATCTCCAAGAGATATGTCATTTTTGCAAACCTAATTAGAAATAAATAGTTCTAAAATATCGGAATAATATGTTTAAGTAAGCTATGTGTTTAATTAAGCACATGTAATAAATACTGTACAATATATAAAAACAAGATTGAATTCTCATAGTGATTAATATTGTATTACGGGTATTAAGAATTTGCCTAAATTAGTTAGGATAATGTAAAAGTGTTTAAACGCCGAACTTCAAGAATTTCGCCGGCAAATATATCGATATAAAAATCCATAACTTTTAAGGTACAGACGCAGGATATGACCTAAGCACAAATTATCCATAGATAACATAATTTTCTTCATGTTTTTAAATAATTTGCATTTCTTAATAAACTTGGAAAACACAATATTGATATAAACAAAGATTCTTTCATTGCTATTAATAAAATGACAATTGCTAGTTATGCATAATGACATAGTTTTGTTTTATAATAACGTTTGCTATTTAGATTTAGTCTTAATATTCCTTTGAAACAGCAAATTGATCATAGGAAATTCTTCTATCGTCCGTCCAAAAAGTATTGTGCCAAGTTTTTCCGGGAAACTTTCCTGTTATAACTTGTGTACCAGATCACAAATTAAAACCGTCAAAAAATGTAACGACGGTGATCAAACCATTTAAAATTCAGGTGTGTTGTTGATTTTACTTTTTTGGACACAATAATACATATTAATACATCAGATATATTAACTTTAACGCTATAACGATAATACAAAAATGGTTTATGTACGTAGCAACCATCACATGAATAGATTATCTGCTTAAGCTTAAGCACAAGATTCTAGACCGAGAATTCTTGTTTGTTCGCTCAAGTACATGTATTTTCTGAGAATGTAGCGTTTTTTCAGGATTCTAGAAGTATTTTATTATTGATTCATGAAATTTACGATGACGAAAAAATGCAGAAATGTTATGCAATTGCTCGTAAATATACGCAGTATGTACAATAAATTGGAACAATATCAATTGACAGAGCAATTAAAATTCATCACAAGAACGAATATCTTTATTATTATTGCTTGAAATTCATTTAATTAATCACAAAACCAACATTTTTAATAATTTACGCCGAGAGATTAAATAATCAATCAGCAGATCGTGGCTAACGCTAACACTTAAACGGCGATGTGGCTTTTGTATCACCACATGGTGAAAGTGATAATATTTGGATGTGTTACAGCATTTTTTATTGCATGTCGATACATGTATTCGAAAAGGTAATCGTACGTAATTGATCTGAAGAAAGACAATCATACATGTACCGGTACGTACTATGTAATATTCAATATGAAATTTCCTTTTGAAAATAACTAGTTTTTCAAGTTCGAGACTTTACTATCTAACCAGTTGAAAAAACCATCACTTTGTCTAACTTCATTATCATTACATATGTTGTGTAATTGGCTAGAATTTTTTGATTCAGCCAATTTTCTTTCGCAATAAATACAGACACAAAATATTTTGGAAAAATATACCCTCGTCTATAACATAATAAGCGAGAATTCAGAAGTACATTTACTACAGGCAGGCATAATTACATGACATGATTAAAAGCATCATTATGTGTAAATAATAAACAAATAAATCATCTGGTGTACAACGGAGTTTTAGCGCCTTTTTTTTACTTTCAAACTTCATTTACGTATCAATTGTGTGTCTATATGCATGCGTGGGTATATCTGACTACATGTAGTTAGGTTAGGTTACTACATGTAATTAGTGACGGCTTTTCATTGTTTCATTATGTCCGTTAATTAACATAGTTCAATCTTTTTTTTGTCTGGTTTACGAGATAATATCCGATAACAAACTGATGATAATAACGATAATAAATGCTGACTACATACGTACGTACGAGAATGAGCTGTGCGTTAAAAAAATCGACTTTGATTAAATGAACAATATGTTAGGGTTAACTATTTTTTTGCTACATTATCTTAACTCGGTTAGCAAACTGAATTTGGATGACGCCGAATTTTTCATTATTGTAATTAGTAATCGTCGAGCATTAGTATTACTTAAATAAATCACACAGGACAGGTTCTTTGTAATATACAGATACAATAGCGATAGCACTTTGATAATTAAATTCGTGCCGTTTTTATTTAAGGAAACAAAGGTAAGCCTCGAAATTTTTTAACCTTTGCGTTTTTTCATTGTTCGCAGCTACATTTTTTTGTCGTTTTTAAGAAACCCGACTTTTGTTCTTTTTCACACTCTCTTTTATCTCATTATTCATTCTTTTATCCTTTTCTCTCGCCTTTCTTTTTTTACTCGATCGTACTTTTGTTTTTGTTTTTACAATCACGCATTCATTCCTTACTTGATTCATTCATTTTTCTTTTCGAATTCCTGTCAAAAAAAATTAATATACGTCACGATCACCGTTTGTTAAAATAAACACAATCACACATAAACTTTAAAAGCAACCTCAAAAATATCGTATTCAATATAAATGATAAATGAAAAAAAAACTCATGATTTTAAGTTACAACAACGGTCTAACATTTATAATTATAATAATATTCATAAATTGAATTCTGTCTTTTTTTGATAATACCAACAATTACGTCACAAAATTAATCATTACAAACACACTCGTAATTTTTGTATACTCGAACAATGATAGCAAAAAAAGCAATGGGTCTTTTACGTAAATTTGCCTGTGGCTCTTGTTCTTTTTTCAACAAGAAAAATGATAAACAACAACAACAACAGCAGCAGCAGCAGCCGCGAAAAAGCTTTATGCTAAACTCTTCCCCGATAACTGACACACATCTAATAAGTAGTGAAATTATAACCTATGATCATACTGACGAGTTTCGTTATTTTGTTGGCCGACGATTTCATAATGTCACTAAATCCCGCTATTGTTTACCAAATGATGAAATTGCCATGGAGCAAGAAAATGTAACTCATGAGACTTTACGTGCAGCTTGGCAGTCTAATTTTTCTGCACCTATCGTAGATACGCTAAAGATGGGTGGTGTAAGAGTATTGGATGTCGGGTATGCAATAACATTATTTATTTGATTCCAATATTCAAATTCAAGAGACAATATTAATGAAAATTTTATTTGTTATTGATTATATCAAAAGTTGTGGTTCAGGTTCATGGATCGTGGAAATGGCTCAACAATATCCAAATTGTCATTTTACAGCAGTGGATTTTTCACAATTGCTACCAAGGGAAGCAAGACCCGAGAATGTAAGCTTCATAGAAGCAAATATTCTGGATGGTCTGCCATTTGCAGCAAAAATATTTGATTATGTACATATGAGAAACATGACTTTTAGTTTTTCAGAGGAGGAATGGAAATTCGCCATAAAAGAAATATTAAGAGTTACAAAAACAGGCGGATTTATCGAATTAATGGAACTTGAATTATCTCTACATAATGACGGGCCAATATCGAGACTTTTGTATAACGCACGTAAGTGAAATTTAGGATTAGCGTTAGGGTTTTCTGCTTAACGTTAACATTTATCTGTACGTAATAATACCGATGCGGATCTAATAGGATCAACGGATCTCCAATCACGAGGGATTGCTGTGAAAACATACGATGTAATTCAAAGTTTGATGGAGTCACAGAAATTCTCGAATATTGATAAGAAACAAATCACAATACCTTTTGGAAAATGGGCTGGAGAAATAGGAGCGAGGATGGCTGACAGTGCAGGTAAGAAAGAGAGATGTGGAGAATCGATTTCGTTCAAGATTTTACAATATAATTGAAGCTGTTTTGCATCTCTTCATAAATAGTATGCTGCTTCCGGACTTTTAAAATAAAATATTCTGACACAATCGGCGTCGAACCACAAGAATATGACAATATGCTTGAATCGTGGTCGGATGAGGTTGACGAGTATAAACCATGCTGCATTGCCTATCGTTGGTGGGCGCAAAAAGTGTACTAGATTAACCAACATTTTTTTTCTTAATCTTCTTGTACAAATTTCATTCTTTTTGCCCCCCCCCCAATCAACCAACAAAATAACCAGATAAATAAGCACGTATAGTAGTATATTTGCCTTCTTCTGTATGGTTGATTGTATTGTATATATTTTTCCTTCTTATTTTATCGTATTGATGATTCGTTTCGATTCAGTCTAAATCTTATTCCTTCTTTTTCATTGTTTGGAATTTTCTGTGAATTTTAGCACTTATTTTTTATTTATTTGAAAAAAACTTGGAATTTTGTTATTTATTTCGTTTATATCTTATTTGAAACCTTGGAATTTTCCTCCCTTTTTACTTAAGACTTTAAAATAATCTAAAAAATTAAGAAAGAAGTTTTTACTTCAATGTCATAAAAGAATAAAGCCAAATCGCAGGATTCCATTTAAGTTATGAACTTACGACATTGATACTTCAACTTAATTTCAGCCTCAGTTTTTCACTTTAGATCTCTAAAATAACTATTTACTGTTATTTATCTTCGGAAATGATGAGAAAAAAGTGTTTTTACAAAAATACTGTGAAGAAGAAAGTTTACACGAGCAGTTTCTCACGTATTTCTTGAAAATAGATTTCGGACCTTCATAATAAAAACAACAAATGAACTAAAGATGCATAATCAAAGAAATAGTTGATTTCGCAGCTATTTCTTTGTTTGCTTTCTATGATAAACAAGGTCAACAAGATACTAATTAAAAGTTTGCGTTAAATAGAAAGTTATGTATTATTAAAAGTAACTATTTATTGGAATCTCAGCTTTATAAACATTCCAAATTTTCGACATTTAAAGAAAACAAACATGCCCTGCAAACATATACATGTACAATTTCAAAATTTTAACTTCAACACTACGTAATTCGATTTGTATGGATAATGTCCTATTGAAATTTTCATTTATTTCACCAATTTGCATTCCGAAATACATGTAATCTATTGATAACTCTCCGTGAATATGCTGTATATGTTTCTTACTTGCTCTTTTTCGTTGCTGAGATACCTTGGACTTTATTCAAATTTCCGTAAGCTGTTGTGAATAAACACCACCTGGAAATAAATACCACCCCAATTTTATTCAAACCATAAATAAGCAACACTATGTTTAAATTGCAAAACATTTATTAAATATAATGAACAATTTAATTGTTTAATCTGAATCATAAATATTGATATCATTTTCACTAATCATATCATTTGTTTCTATAATTTCTCTATATCCCGTTTCTTTCAATTCTTTAATTTTACTATTCCAAATCAAGTCATTCGAAATACCACATTTTTTGAATGAATCTCATTCCAAATATCAATTATCTATTCGCAAATTACATTGTGTTCTCAAGGTCCCCTTTTTGTATAGTTACATTTTTTCGTATGCATCCACTCATTCAATTTATCTCACAGTTTATCCTTAAATGGCTTGCTAAAAAAGACATCAAGAAACCGAACTATTTAATGCAAGTTCTCCTGGAATTATACAAAGATCAGTGTTTTCTCTTTCTTTAACCCATTCAGTTTTTTGTACTTCAAAACGATCTAAAACTAATAAAGCTCTTTTTTTATTTGTTTCGCTGAATCATTAAAACACAACGATTTTTTCATTCTGTTGTTCAAATATGTACTGTTTTTGTTCCAGTGGTCTCAATCATATATTACCAACCGTGTCAACTCGTCCATGTTGTCTATTACTGCTATTTCATATCGATATTGTTTGAATTGTTTAACTAAAAAATGACGAAAGTCAAGCAATTTTTGTTTTAAAATGTAAAAATCATGACAATATAAAAATCGGTAAACCATTGATCTTTTGCTAAAGAATTATTTTTGGTCTCAAGGTAAATTTTGGCAAAGTTGTTTGCTAATAAAAATAACATTTCATGTTGGTGGTTATGGTAAGTCCATTCTGTTGAAATTCTAAAATCCGTTTGAAAAGTGCTTCTTCAGCAGTCGGATATATGGCTTTTGCTCCTAAAACAATACAATGTTTATTTCTTGTTGCATTTTGAAACTTAGATTCTCTTTCATCCATCGTAAAGCATAAAATGATTAATTGAGAAATATAACACCAAAAAAACTTGGTACATTGATTTTTGCTACCTTTCATAGAAAATATGCATACGGTAATATTATTGTTGATTCTTATTGAAAACAAACACAAGAGTCTAACAAAGATCCCCAATGCCATCTGCCCAAGCTCTTGCGCAGTGTGAAGGTGGCTTGCGCAGAGCTCATGAACCAGCAGTGAGATGCGTTCCGTTTATGGTTATCATATTGCGAATTTGATATTTATATCAAAAATAGGAATACTTGGATTTCACTTGATAAAATTGTGAGTTTAAAAAGAGCAAAAATTGTCATTGTCGCGGCTGATGCTGAAATTGACCAATGAAATTAGAGAATAAAAATTGATCAGCCATATATTCTCAGAAACTTTTGAAGAGCACTTACAATAATTGAGAATTATCTTCAATATAATTTGAAAAAGTGAATTAAAACTACATCCTAAAAAGTGTTATTTTGGATAGCTTTTCTTGAACATATCATTGAAAAAGAAGAAATATAACCTGATCCTGCTAAAATCCTAGTAATACAAAATTTTCTAGTGCCAACTAATTTAATAATACTATGAAAATTTTGTGAACTAGCTTCTTATTATTGATGCTTTGTTGAAAAATTTTGCAAAAATTGCTGCACTACTATATTAGCTCATGAAAAAAGAATAATCTTTTACATAGAATGAAGAATATCAAGAAGTCTTTGAAAAATTGAAACAATATTTGATTTTATCACTAATTTTAACTTATCCAGATTTTGAAAAACCATTTTTTTATATACTCTTATAGTATATTACCAAAAATTTCAAAAATGAATTTGTCACTTTGGTATATAATATTTTAATATTCAGTGATCATATTTGAATAAAAATATATTTCTATTTGAACAGGATCACTGGATATCAAAATATCATATATTAGAGAAACAAATTTATTTTTGAAATTTTTGGTAATATACTATAAGAATATGTATATATTAATGCTTTTAGTTTTAAATTAGATACTATTCTTGCACAAAAAGTTGACAACAATAGAAAATATATAGTTACTTATACTAGTAGAACTAGTATATTGTTACTGTAGTAACATAAATTTTTCTAATTCAATAATCTTTTATTGATTATGCGAAATTCTCTTTTTCTTAATTTTTATAATTTATCACCTGATTATTATTATTTTTATCCAATCGTATA